CTGCTCGGAAAACACTCCTTAACTCTGCTTGTCTCTTAGAAATACTAAGGGCTTGTCTGGATGAGAATGTAACCATGTGAACATCAGCTTTTATCGAAGCATGATGTCTTTGCTGAAATGTCACATTAAATTGGAGGAAGACATTCTTGTATTGGAAAAAGCACCCACACATCGAAATATTGACGAATAAGACCTCAAGAACAGCTTTTCCTTATGTGAACAAATTCAGTGTCTTCGCCTGAAACCGGTGTGAAGGAAAGTGTAGAAATGTGAAGCAAAGACAGGTGTTCACAGTCAAATACTTTACTGGTGAACAGCACCATTTCTTCGTAAGACTAGAGGACACAGCCCTAACCAGAAAAAAAAAAACCCTTATAATATAGCCCTAACTTCCATAAGCCTGAGGAAAGAATGCAAAAATAACTCAAAGAAGTTGTATAATTAAGGTATTAGCTCAGATGTGCCTTGATAATGTGATTGTCAGTGTCATTATTTCACTTGCCTGGATGACAGTCAAAGACAGGTCACAGCTCTGGCTCACCATGAGGGGCTCTTTTTGTGGCTGCTGACAAAATACAGACTGCTCCCTGTGGGAGGAGAGCTGTATTGGGCCCTGACATTGCTGCCAGTCTGGGCACAAGTGCAAGTATAATTGCCAAGAGCTATTTAGGAGTTAGCAAACTGCCCCTACTACTATTTTTACTTCCTTTGTTGAAAATTATCCAGATGTTCATCACAAAAATAAAATCAAACAATGTAGCAAAAAAACCCAACAAAGAGCCCAAAATTTCATTGCTCAGCTTCTCACATGAAAATGGTTTGTTTACCAGTTTTAAAACAAAATAAAGCCACGTTGCCCAGGACCCATACCTATCTCTTCCTGTTCACAGAGAAGATTTTAAATCAAACTCTGCAGACTTTGCTCAATTTACTCATCAAAGTTTAAAACCTTTAAGATGTGTTTGTGTACAAATGTAGGTTATCAAAAATGAAGGCACAATGACAAACTGTGATACATCTTTTTCAGCCACAACTTGGAGAAGTAAGAAAAACTTAGTTGTAGATATATATATTCAGATAATTGCCTGTATCTTTATACATACCCTGTGCTTCCTTTCAGAGTAGAAAAATAAAGTCCTGTTCCCTATGGTGAAAAAGAAATCAAAACCACCACATTTGGACTGTCTGCACTGCATTTAAGTCCTTGTGTCTAGTCAAAGGAGAAAGCTGGGTACTTCTGAAGGCCTTTGAAAAGTGACAGCACAGAGGATGGATCCACCAGAGGCCAGAAAGGGTAAAATGGGCATGAGGGCTTCAGCTGAACTGAGGATGTCTAAATATGGTTTGAAATGCTCTCAGGGCCAGAGTACTGTAACACAGGGCTTATCTAAACTCACGAGTTTCACAAATTTAATTCTATAGAGAAAGGAGTGTGATGTTTTCATCAACAGCATTACAGAGCTTTGGTATCTATCACAGATGGTCTGAAATATACTTCATATTGGAATAGTTTCTTCTTCTGGCCAAGTAGGAGAAGGCTCTAACATGGTGACCTCTTTCGCATAGATGTGGTTTTGCTACCCTATATTGTTCACTACAAAACCTGTTTCTTTTTGTAGGATAGATTATACAAGTTCCCCTGAATTTTGTGGAGTCCCAGCAGAGATCTACAGTAATTGTCAAGTCCTTAAAACTGAATTTCTGAAACACTCACATGTGCAAGAGTGAATAAATCTACAACGTGGATTTATGTGCTGATTCAGTACTTGCAATCAGATTCTTCAGGTTCTTATACACTCAAAAAGTATATATTATATGTTAAATAAAGATTTCAGGTTACACATCAACTTTACAGAAGTATTACAGAAAGAGAAGGATGAATAAACTGTATTTTTCTAGTATGAATGCCTTTGGTTATTTAATGAGTGTTTAAAACAAAGCTTCAGAAGCGTTACTGGTCACGCTACATGATAACAAGTATGTTTATTTCAGAATGTGTTTATGTAAACTGTTTACATGTGAAACATTCTAAGCTTTTGTACTCCCTTTGACAATATTGCAAAAAATGGCATCTCAAACTCTGGACTAAATTGTGCAATCTGTCAAATAAATAAATATCTCCTTCCTCACACTGCCTAGAAGTTGAAATAACATATGGAAAATGAAAAATCTTCCTGACAGTACAAGTTATTTTATGCTCTTTTCCAGATGTGAGTCTGATCATGTTATGCTGTTTTGCAGATCCCGTTAGTCTCTCTCCTTCTTAAACACATATTTTGTGGTATATATGGTTTCTGATTTCTGCTCCACAGTCAGGGAGAGTAATTTCTTAAGGAAGTGAAAAGAGGTTGGTTTCTCCTCTGAGAATGCAAGCACAGCTGCAGAGGGAAGCCTGACCCCAAAAGCCCTACCAGCTGTCATCACAGACTGAAACAGGTGTTTATGGGACTCCCTCCCCAGATCTTTACAATGTACAAGACTGTTTTGTTTATGATATCCATTTCCCATCCTAAATTATATATATCGCCTTTCAACCTCAAGGAGCATAAAATAATTCTCAGACTGTGGCCCCATCCAGGAATCGTCTTGTGGACTCAGCTTGTGAGCAACTCTGCCACCCCAATTTATGAACACTGCCCTTCTCTAACTGGGATATCACTGCTGTTTCAGCAGCAATTTAACACTTCAGAGTAAATAAAGGGACAAATCAGGAATGGGAAATGACAGAAAAGCAAATTATTTTGAAACTCATCCTCACTGCTGTTCTGTAGCTAGCCCAGGGAGTTTTGGACATCCTCAAATGACCAAACTGATGCCTATGACCAGAACCAAAGACAAGTTCGACAAAAAGAATCATGAAGTTATAACAGAAGATGAAAGTTGGCACAGGAGAGGATCTATCAGTATAAACAGAGTACCTAAATTGTTACGGTACAGAAAAGAACTAAACTAAATGTTTGTTTGAAATAAGCACCAAGCTATGCCTTTCTGGATTTCCAAAAACATAACTGTGGTTAACATTTCTCTTTTTCATTGTTGCATTCAATTTCAATGGAATCCTGCTGCTCAAGATTCCAGTACACACTAGATGTTACCACCAAAAAGAAGCTGGTTTTACACTGTATTTGGCAAGAAGCAAACAGAGCATGAGTTTACAAATAAGCAAACCAAACCTTTTTGCAACCCCAAATAAATTTCAGATTGTGTTTCAGGCAAAGATCTTACTATGCTCTTATGCTAGGGAAAAACAGCGCCCACCCACAGAAACCCAACACGAAGCAGGAGCCTGAAAGCATCACTGCTCTGTATAAGAATACCTTGAGAGCATTCCAGTTGACTGAACCAATCTTGGGATTGGCCCCAAATGAAAAAAATAGCCATAGAAAGGGTACAGCAACAGCAATCAAGCAGTTGCAAGAAGTTTGTAAAGTAACTGGGATCAGTAAGTTCAGCCACTGCCCCATGAGCAGCCTGTTTGTAATTAATTTACTGGTCTGATTTTTTTTTGTTGGCTGGTTTGTTTTGTGTTGGTTTTGTGTTTATTTATTT